CATATATATATATATATATATATATACATCATAATTCTGCTACTGTTGAATACACTTTGTGGTACTAAACACCACTGCATGTGTTAGTTTACGGTTCAAGTAAAATATTTGTCAGGTCCATGTTTAAGAAATTTACAAGTTGGAAGAAAATCTATTTTGTTATATTTTAATTTATTTAAAAATTTCATAGGACACAGTCAGAGGGACTGTAGGCCTCTTAAGTTTGGAGAACCACCTTCTAAATAAAAGAAATGTGTTTTTAAGTAATTGTGTAATGTTTATGTTTTAACTCAGTAAGTACTTGGTATCAGTACTCAGTATCGGCGAGTACACAAACTAAAGTACTCCTACTCATACTCAGTTTGATAAAAAACTGGTATCAGGCCAACATTAGGCCTATGATGCTTGGAGAAATGCTTGGAGAGATGCTTGGTTTCGGTCCGCAGGGGAAGTCGCACACATAATTCACGCAAAGCATCATGGGACTTATAGGAATAATGTCACTAAATTCATGGTCTCTGCGTTTCCTGCTTGTCCGTGCGTTGCGCTTCCTAGCTGTCTGTGTCTGCATCACTTCCTCCGTTTTGTCCAAGTAAGTTTTTACTGCACGGTCAGCTTTTGTTTTGTTTTTAATAAATAAATACTTTTTTCATTTGACCTGGCTGCTTCCTGCGTCTGCACCGGGGTTCAACTCAAACCATGCCAGTAATCAGAAGAACCCAGCAGTTTTTAGTGTGTGGAGACTTGTGGTTCGTGGGGAAGCCTTCCAATAAATTCATCTTGATTTATCCTTGCTTTGACTGATTACACGAATGTAAATATTCAGCAGGAGGATATATGGTCCGGCTGACAGACACATGGACGGACAGAGGCTCGTGCTGGGTCAGGAGCTCCATTGCCACTCACAGTTATTTATTAGGCTACATATTCACTCTCTATCCATCACCTCGCATTGCCACCCGCTCCGGTCACATCTCTTTAGTGTTTATTACAGCGTCCCACCTTCTCTCCCCCACTGCGACGGATGATTGACGCGTTTGGAGAGGACCTAGGTGGGACTTGCGCGCGCCTTTTGCGCCAATCGTGGCTCGAGGGGGGCGGATGCTTCCCCCATCCATGCTCTGATTATGAGTCAGTTACCAGACACAAGCCAAACAATAACACTCGGTTGGCTTTAGTTTCTCTGCGCATCCCTTCAAGTTGAGTCCTTCATTGAAAACCCTGCGTTTGGCGCACCAAGACGCAGCGCGCGCGCCACTTTTAATCAGATTACATTCTTTCTCCTTCCTCCTCCCTACAGTAGCGGTGCAGGAGTGGCCCAAGCCCAAAGCAGCGATTCAGATCAGATTTCACCTAAACCAGCTGGGAAGAGAGAGAGAGAGAGAGCGAGGGAGAGAGACGAGGAGAGGGGAGAGAGGTTCGTCAGTCTCCCTCCTCCCAAATCCAGAAAAGCTTCACCAAGGAAGGGGAGGAAAGAAGGAGGAGTGTCTGGTCTCAGACAGAGACAGCGAGGAATCCGGAGGAATTTCCGAGGATATTTTCTTCCACTCTTGATAATCAAGCTTTGCAAAGAAAAAAAAAAGGGTGAGGGGAATAAAAGCAGAGAAAAGTTGGAGGGGAGGCAGCAGCAGGGACCGTGGTCAGGGATGGACGAGCAGCCCCGCTTGATGCACTCCCACGGCGGGGTGGGCATGGCCGGACACCCCGGCCTGGCGCAGCACATGCAGGATGGCACGGCGGGGACGGACGGGGACGGGAGGAAGCAGGACATCGGAGACATCTTACAGCAAATCATGACCATCACAGACCAAAGCTTAGACGAAGCCCAGGCGAGGTGAGCACTCCCTCACTTTTTTATTTTTTAAATTGTATTTACCTCTCACAGAGTGTCTGGAAATAATAATAATAATAATAATAAAGCGCACATTAAGATGTGAAGCGCTCAACAAGCTCCTAAAACTTGTGGCTTTGAGCTGGCAGACCTGAAACAACTTTTTTTTTTTTTTTTGTATTTGCTTAGAATCGCTGGTGAGCGCGTGAATGGATGCAGGAAGCTGTGCAGGACTTGGCAGCTCAGTTCCTCTCAGAGTGTTTTTGTCTTAATTGTTCCAAAGGAGCTTACATTGTAATCCTGAGTCACAAAAACACCATGCAGACCCTCTGCTGTCAGCACAAGCAAATCTGTTGCAGCACATCACTGTGCATGTGTGATTGAAAACAAGTAGTTTTGCATCGCTCAACATTTAGACAAAGCTTTAAAGTGGCTTTTTTTTAAAAAACACTTGTTTGAATATTGATTAGGAAAGCTGTGCTTTGTCCTTTTTTTTCTTTATTTTAGGAAACATGCACTCAACTGCCACAGAATGAAACCTGCCCTCTTCAACGTCTTGTGTGAAATAAAAGAGAAAACAGGTAAAAATCTCCATCAGTGAGCGAGTGATGGTGTGGCTGTGTATTTAAATTCTGTTTGTGTGCCAGCATCACCTCTTTTTTTTTTTATTTAATGATCAGTATTTTTCTTTTTCTTTTTTTTAAAATGGAAAATGCACATATAGAGGTGCTAAACAGGCCGTGACCTCCTAAACATGCGATAAATGCACACTGTGAAGGATTTATTGTGTGAATTACCTTCACTTACAGGTAATACTTCATAAAACGTCAGAATAAAGTAGAGAGAATTACTAACACAACTATGAACACGTGACTGGGCAGAGATTTTGGTTTGCTTCAGAGTTTGCATGAGCAGTTTAACATGCAGAGGCAGGCCTGAGGGGTTCTTTATTAGTTTTTATGTTTGTAACCAGAGTTGAGGAATAGAAAAGTGCAAAGTGTTTTCAGTGACGAAGGCCCCGCGAGGTTCCTCTGAAGGGATGTCGCTGCTTTTCAAGGCAGGAAATAAAACAAAATATCCAATATCGCCTTATCTGTGAACACGACTTTGAAGCTGTCTGCGAGGTTATTGAGAGAGAGCCTTGTCACTTCGCCTGCCTTGTGTTTGTGTGTGTGTGTGTGTGTGTGCTCTGAGAGTAAACACAAGGGGACGGAGCTGCAGGGGAGGCAGCGCAGTTTTCATTAAAACAACACAAAACTGCTCCTCGCTGACATTTCATTTGTGTGAGTCAGAGTTTGGCACGGCTTTCTCCAAAAACAAGGGGAGCTAACATGCAGACACTTGAGATTTTCATCAGATTTACAGAGGAAGCTACAGTAGAGGGATCTGTGTGTGTGTGTGTGTGTGTGTGGGGGGGGGTCTACTTCTAAATTGTGAGGCTTGGAAAAAGTGAAAGAGTAATGCCTGGCTCTTTGTAAACTGTCTGGCGTCTCCCTGGGTTCAAGCAGAGTTCATTTCCAAAAAGAAGAACAAAGTGACTTGGACCTTTTCCTGCCTCCCCCTCCTCTCATCCCCCCCCCCCCCCCTCCTCTCACCGTTCTTGGCAATCAGCTCCTGACAGGAGAGAGGCTCCCCTCAGACTGCAAATTGTCCTCCCCTCTGTTTCGAACCAAGTTTGGAAATGAACACAATTGGCCGCAGCTTGTTGTTTTTCCTCTCCTCTCGAGGACTGGATCGGTTATTTTTATTTTATTTTACATCTTTTCTCTTTTTTCTTAACTCGCTGAACAAACCTCAAATCAGCAGTGTGTCTTCTGCCGTTTATATATATAAAAATCTGCGTTTTAACTTAAAGCACCCTTCCAACATGCACACAGACACACACCTACAAAGCCTTCCCTGTCTGCATCTGAAGAGCCGAGCTGCAGCTCATCTCGGCCTATAGGAGGGTTTGTGCAGACGAAACCGAAAATCCTTTTCACTGCAGTGACAGAGAAAATGACTCAAACCTTCACCATGGCATTTACAGCCAAATGTGCTGAGTGCAGTGTATGCGAGAGGAGAACAGCCTGTAATTTGTCAGGACTTCTTTTTTTTTTTAAGATTCTTTCTAAAGAGTCAGCTTCCTCGTCCTTTTTCACGTTGTTGCAGTCAAGAGTGTCTCTGAGAAGATTTGAAGCCCCCCCACCCCACCCCCCCACTCTTTTAACCAAAGATACAAAGCGTTTCCCTGCTTTGGTTGTTATATTCTGCGTGCACGAGCAGCTCTTCCTGCTCTTCAGCGCGTTGTTATCGGCGGTGCGAGTGTTGACAGCAGCAATATGGGTCATTGCCGCAGTGAGGTGTCCATTGGCAGGCAGCTGACAAACAAGGTGGGAGTGCATGCCAATAGCAGACAGAGAGGGCTTTAACTGCTGACCCCGCTCCCTTTTAAAAAAAAAATTGTGCCGGGGTCGTTCCCGTGTCACTGCGTTAGAGCATTTAGCAAGCCTAAACAAGCTCAGGTTCACACGCTGGTGTATGGAGAACCTTGTGTTAACACTTGGAGATGTTCCGTTTGGCAGCTGAGGTGTTCCCCCCTCATCCCCCTCGTTTTCTTTTGTTTGTTTTTTTTCAACGAGCATCATTGTTACCAAAGTTCCTGAGCGCTTTGAGGCTTTGAATCGTGTGTTTGCTTCACATCCTGAACCGGTGAGCGTCTTTTGTTTGCGTGGAACCATTGCGGCAAGGGAAGCTGGCACGTACAGGTCGCGAGAAGCCAGACACCAAGGCAGTGTTTCTGGGTGTCACGTTTCAGGCCTGTCCTCCCCTCCACCCTCTGTCTCTCTTGCGAGGCCTGGGACTGTTTGGTCAGGCCTCTTCGTCAGCAGCCTCACGTTACATCCACGCAGACTCGGGTCAGATGGAGATCTCCTGCATGACTAATGTGATCAGGCGGATAACGCATTACACCGCTTGAACTTATCAAAGCTGGAGACCTGCTGAATCAGAGTGTCCTGTTAACGGCGGCCCTCCACAGGTCTGCGCTGCTAACCAGACCAAACATTTTGGATGTTTAGAGTGATGGTGCTCGCTTCAGTGGCTTAAAGCAGGAGTTGTAGGCAATAGTTGTAGCTCCTTGTTTAGTGGGACATTAAGAAACAATTTCTAACATGTGAAATTGAGATTGTATTGAAAACAATTAAGACATTTTGGTCACGGCCGAGGTAGAATAGTTGTGGTGGCCATCTAACTGTTAATCAGCTGTAGATGTGGTGTTACATTATTGGTTAAGAAGATATTTTGCTAACAGACAAACAATGTTTACATGGACATAAGCAATCAGATTAAACGGCCGTTCGGAATAAAAATGTGTCATGCAAACGCCCCGTTCGGGTTATTTTTTGTTTATTCAGCTCAATCCGAAAGAATGCTGACATGCTAATATTAGCATGTCAGGGAAGCAAAACTGGTCGATGAGCAACACAATATTTCTACCAGAAACTTTGAAAGAGCTCAAAATGATCTGTATTACCTGTAGCTCAGTCAGGGAGTGCAGCAACGTCTCCACCGTCATTAAAACCTGTCGCAGGGACATTTTAGGTGCTCAGGTTTGTTTACGTTCATCCCAGAAGTAGAACTTCTTCTTCAGTGTTTTTTTAAAGGAGAGATTACCACTCTGCGCATGTCAGTACTTCTGTTCAGAACAAAGCCTGCTGCATGTAAACGCTCATCGTGAACAGATTGTGTCCACGTAAACGATACATTTGAATTATTTAATCTGAAAACATTTCAATCCGGTCAAAGAATTTTGTGTAAACGTAGCTAGTGTTGACTCCAAAAGTTGATGCAAAAAAAATGTAAGCAAATATGTTGCGCAAAGTATTGCGCATTGGGTGAGGGAGTGGTGGTGCAGAGGTTAGAGAAGGTGGGCCTGTGATCAGAAGATCGCTGGTTCAGCTCCCGGTACTGACGTCATCAAAATGTGGGTGGGGTAGGTGACGCACCCACACCTGCCTCCACCCTCATTTTCCCCACTCTGGGCCCTTGAGCAAGGCCCTTAACTCCCACCATCTGCTCCCCTGGACACCCTAAATAGCAGCTCCCTGCTCCACACAGAGGGCTGTGGTAGCTCGGTGGTCTGTGGTTGTGTCAGGAAGGATATCCGGCGAAAAAATAACTGCCAAGTCTTCGTGCGACTTAGTTCGCTGTGGCGGCTCCTGAAGAAGGGAGCAGCCGAAAGAAGAAAAAAAAACGTTGCGCAAAGTATTGTGCTCAGAGTATGCGTTTGTGAGAACACTCAGCTACAACCACTCCAGGTTTTAGACAAATACATGTAAAATTGGCTGGGTTAAATCACCTTCTGTGTTTTCTCAGTTAGTTAGCTGTGGCAGCCATCTTGAAGTGGGTGGAGTCCAAAAGTTAAACCAGCTGTAGATGACCAGCCAATAAGTAAAGTTCGGAAAGTTTCGTGAAAATCCAGTGGTTTATGAGATATTTGGCTAACAGACGAACAAACACACAGACTCAGGCAAAAACATTCTTGCTCCTCCTTCACCTTCACAGGCAGGCAATAACAACAATAATGAACATTTTATTTCATTTTTTTAAACCAGAAATTGAATATAAGGCTGTCTAATGCAGTCAATAAGCAATCATCTCTGAAGGTCTAAACTACGCTCACAGGTGACGACATAGAACCATTTCAAGCGTTTCCTTTAATACCAGGCCTAAACGATGATGGAGGTACTCGTTGAGCTCCCATGCAGCAGTGGCTAAACTGGTCAGTATGGCTCCCAGCGCTGCTGTTTCTCAGTATTTAATTGACATGGCTGTCCATGATGAGTTCAGGGGTTAGTGTTGCCTCTCTTTGTTACTCTCCTCTCATATCCAGTGACAGATGGAGGCATTAGTCTCCAATGTGGCGCTGTCCTGAAACTAATGGCTATGTCCTTGGCTTCCCCGCGCTAGCTGGGAGACTGTATATCTGTCCCTGGCTTGGAAGTGCAGAAGCAGCAGTTTATCCACCCTGCAATCACCCACCCACCCTACGCCACCCTCCTCTCCTCGTCATGTTTCAGTTTCCGCTGAAATAGGACCAAGCAGGACTTTGTTCTCTCATAAATAACTTCAGATAAACAACTTCAAAATGACTTTTTTTTTCTCCTCTCCTTAGAGAAACTGTCTTTGATTTGTGAGTTTAAAGCAGACTCTTCCTCCGTTTTTGTCCAGAAAATGTCCGTCCGAGCGAGTCATGATGAACAGGTGATGCCATGTTTTTAGATGTGCAGATTTTCCTTTTGCCTTAAACGTAAGCTCCAAGTACACCCCCTCACCCCGCTTTCGAATGTCCAAACCCTTTCTTTCCACACATTTATACCTTATCTGTCCACTTGAGAAAAAAACCAGCAAGTGTCTCCGCTGATGCTTGTCCTCCAGTATAAACTCACTTGCAATTAGGAGAGCTAATATATTATGCAAATGTTGACTGGCTTAATTGAGACATGTTAATCATGTTTTAAGAGGCTAATTACAGCCCTGTAAATCTGAGGTGGGAGTAGTAATTAGCCATGATAACAGATCTGGATGTGAAATGGTCATA